GTGACGTCACCACGACGCTTGTGCCAGGCCATGTGCACCTTGAGGCCACGTGAAGTGTCGAACGCCCGCTAGCAGGTCACGGGGCAGACCCAAGTGCCACGGGTCGACTAAGATGACTGAGATGACTGGCTGATGCACCACCTGTGCTACCCTACTGTGCCAACCTGCTGTGCTTTAGCCACCGGCGCTCCGCTCGTTGTTGTGAGCGTCGCTCCTCCGCCCTCCGTTGTTGGAGGGCGACTGCCTCCAACTGCCCAGTAGAGTCATTCACGAGCCTCCTCCACAGAGGCCGATCTTGACACTGCTGGTACCAGTCATCGGCAAGTCCACTCAGCTCCACGTCCTCCTGTACCACATCACGCCATCTCTTCTCTAGCCCGTACCGCGCCCATTTAGCCCCCTCGATCCGGCCGAACAAAAGCTGTTTCGGCATGCGGTGGCTAAACATACGGGCTACATGACCCAGCTAACGCAGCCTTGCCTGCCGGAGGAGCTCACCGATGGGGCCTTGCCCAGATCTTTCAAAGATTTGTGAGCTCCTCACACAATCCAGTCTGGTTAAACCCAGAATGGATCGTAGGCAGGCTAGCCTAAATGTTTCTAACCGGCGAAGATGTTTCATTAGGGGGGGTCCACGTTTCGCAAGCGTAGAGAAGGGAGGGAATGACCGTGGCCGAGAAGACCTGAAGCTTAGTGCAGAGCGACAGACCAGGTAGCTTGGGAGAATCATCTCTACCCCGGTGCCTTTCCTGGTTTCAGACTCCGGATCGCCTTCAGTACTTCCTCAACAGATGGCACCTCAGCCAGCCACTCACAGGGGTGACTTCTTGCAATATTTGAGGCACTGCAGCCTCAGCAGGGTCATCCCCACTGTGTGCCACGTTGTTTTCTGGCTGAGGGATTTCCCCTCCCCAGGACCTCAGAAATGCTCAGCAAATCTGCAAACCCATACACACGCTCACCCATACACCTAGAGTAAGGGAAAAAAGTATTTGATCCCCAACTGATTTTGTACGTTTGCCCACTGACAAAGAAATGACCAGTCTATAATTTTAATGGTAGGTTTATTTGAACAGTGAGAGACAGAATAACAACAAAAAATCCAGAAAAACGCATGTCAAAAATGTTATAAATTGATTTGCATTTTAACGAGGGAAATAAGTATTTGACCCCTCTGCAAAACATGACTTAGTACTTGGTGGCAAAACCCTTGTTGGCAATCACAGAGGTCAGACGTTTCTTGTAGTTGGCCACCAGGTTTACACACATCTCAGGAGGGATTTTGTCCCACTCCTCTTTGCAGATCTTCTCCAAGTCATTAAGGTTTCGAGGCTGACGTTTGGCAACTCGAACCTTCAGCTTCCTCCACAGATTTTCTATGGGGTTAAGGTCTGGAGACTGGCTAGGCCACTCCAGGACCTTAATGTGCTTCTTCTTGAGCCACTCCTTTGTTGCCTTGGCCGTGTGTTTTGGGTCATTGTCATGCTGGAATACCCATCCACAACCCATTTTCAATTCCCTGGCTGAGGGAAGGAGGTTCTCACCCAAGATTTGATGGTACATGGCCCCGTCTATCGTCCCTTTGATGCGGTGAAGTTGTCCTGTCCCCTTAGCAGAAAAAACACCCCCAAAGCATGTTTTCCACCTCCATGTTTGAAAGTGGGGATGGTGTTCTTGGCGTCATAGGCAGCATTCCTCCACCTCCAAACACGGCGAGTTGAGTTGATGCCAAAGAGCTCCATTTTGGTCTCATCTGACCACAACACTTTCACCCAGTTGTCCTCTGAATCATTCAGATGTTCATTTGCAAACTTCAGACGGGCATGTATGTGCTTTCTTGAGTAGGGGGGACCTTGCGGGCGCTGCAGGATTTCAGTCCTTCACGGCGTAGTGTGTTACTAATTGTTTTCTTGGTGACTATGGTCCCAGCTGCCTTGAGATCATTGACAAGGTCCTCCCGTGTAGTTCTGGGCTGATTCCTCACCGTTCTCATGATCATTGCAACTCCACGAGGTGAGATCTTGCATGGGGCCCCAGGCCGAGGGAGATTGACAGTTTTTTTGTGTTTCTTCCATTTGCGAATAATCGCACCAACTGTTGTCACCTTCTCACCAAGCTGATTGGCAATGATCTTGTAGCCCATTCCAGCCCTGTGTAGGTCTACAATCCTGTCCCTGACATCCTTGGAGAGCTCTTTGGTCTTGGCCATGGTGGAGAGTTGGAATCTGATTGATTGATTGCTTCTGTGGACAGGTGTCTTTTATACAGGTAACAAGCTGAGATTAGGAGCACTCCCTTTAAGAGTGTGCTCCTAATCTCAGCTCATTACCTGTATAAAAGACACCTGGGAGCCAGAAATCTTTCTGATTGAGAGGGGGTCAAATACTTATTTCCCTCATTAAAATGCAAATCAATTTATAACATTTTTGACATGCGTTTTTCTGGATTTTTTGTTGTTATTCTGTCTCTCAATGTTCAAATAAACCTACCATTAAAATTATAGACTGATCATTTCTTTGTCAGTGGGCAAACGTACAAAATCAGCAGGGGATCAAATACTTTTTTCCCTCACTGTACACACCCATACACAGCGTGGGAGACATGACACACCGGCAATGACGCTAATTCGTGACACGTTTTATGACTCGCGTGTTCCCCCCACAGTGCGACACGCGCACGGGGAGCGACGCGTTCGCCTCTCCCCACGGAGCTCCACACGTGGCGGGACGAGATGGGGACGAGACGGGGACGAGACGGGGACGAGACGGGACAAGGCGAACGATAGACATACAGCATAAATAACCACGCGCGGCATCCTAACGAATATTCTCTGTTATATAAACACAATAAGTTGCTGTACAGTGTCAGCTACGCCGAGTGCAAATTTGACACGCCGCACGGCACAGCGGAACGGCTTCTCATGCAACCGCGATCATCGTGAACCACGATCATCATCGTCAACCACGATCATCGTCGTCAACCACGATTGTCGTGAACCACGATTATCGTCGTCAACCACGACCACGATCGTCGTCAACCACAACCATCATCATCGTGAACCACAACCACCATCATCGTGAACCACTATCATCGTCGTCAACCAGGAATCGTCGCCGTCAACCACGATCATCGTTAAGCACGATCATCGTTAAGCACGATCGTCAGCAACCACGATTGTCAACCACGATCGTCGTCGTCAACCACGATCGCCGTCGTCAACCACGACCACGATCGTCGTCAACCACAACCACCATCATCGTGAACCACTATCATCGTCGTCAACCAGGATCGTCGCCGTCAACCACGATCGTCGTTAAGCACGATCATCGTTAAGCACGATCGTCGTCAACCACGATTGTCAACCACGATCGTCGTCGTCAACCACGATCATCGTCGTGAACCACGATCATCGTCGTCAACCACGATCGTCGTCGTCAACCACGATTGTCGTCGTCAACCACGATCATCGTTAAGCACGATCATCGTTAAGCACGATCGTCATCAACCACGATTGTCAACCACCGATCGTCGTTGTGAACCACGATCATCATCGTCAACCACGATCGTCGTCCACGATGGGAGTCGTCAATCACGATTGGCACCACGATTCAGCAGCGGAGGCTGCTGGCCACGCACATGGCCTGTAAAGACAAGCAATGTGGAGGCAGCAAGGGGTCGGCGGATCGCACGAATGTTGTGAAACTCCAGTGGGAGTCGAGGAGGAAGCCATGTCCCTGGGTCACCGGAAATGCGGTACGACAAAACGTGTAATAATTTCCCTCACAGCCGTATGCACGGAATCGAGTGTTGCCCCCTCGCACGCGTGGGTTTTTTCTCTGGGGTCCTCCCAGTTTCCTCCCACATGTAAACAGTCATTAATTGGGCCGATTAAAACCTTGACATGCGGAGGGCAACATTAGCTTGGCTCATCACCTGGCTGCTTGCCTTCTCGCAAGGCTGTGGTTCTCTCCGACAACAGATATTGTGGGTCGGGTGCGTGACAAGTTGACACGGTTATTATTACTATGAACCACAATCATCACTAACTCCAATCCTCACGTGTCCCATGGGCTCAACTCTTAACCCACGAGCTGCTCCGAGCCACCGCTAGAGGCAACTCCAGAGGCTACCTTGTCGACTCTACCCCGTCGCCCAGGCTGCGTCGGAAGAGGAAGCCGTAACCCACGCATTGCCCCTCCACATGCCAGCTGCCAAACAACCATTTACACTGCTGTCTGGACAGGGTGGGTGGGCGCCGGGGGGGATTTCAGAAACTTGCTCCATTCGTTTTTTTTTTTAAACTGCCATGCCGGGCAACCTCTGGATTGCATGCAGGTCCAAGCGCGCCGCTCACCGTTGCGCCACGGTAGCGGCACGTGCTGTACCGCCGCGTCACCGGGGACACGCGTTTGCCCCGTCGCAACATACAGCGACGGGGCAAACGCCTGGGGACCGTTGCACCTCCGAAGAGCACCGTTGGCTACGTACCGGTGCAGAAAGGAGTTCAACATACGTAGCAGCATGTATGGTAGGGTCACCGCCTCTGTCCACTGCAGACAAAAAACCCAGGTGGATTCATCCATGAGTATCTGTTATCAAAACTGTGCAGCGGTCCTCTGTGATGAATTTCAGCACAAAAACCGGTAACCAGATCTCGATACCAATCAAATCCTGGCACCCCAACACAGATGCAAGTTCTCCGGACTATACCGGGTCTAACGTGGACAGGCGGCAACCCTAAGCACGTGACAAGACACGGGAGGCAAGCCGGACACGTGGCGAGATGCAGCACGGGACACACGGGGGAGGAGACGGGGGGACACCGGACGCTGACACGGGCACTGCGCCCGCACGCCCCAGAGCGCTTGCATAGTCGTGTAAAGCGGCAGCAGCAGTACTTCTCCTCCTCCTCCTCCTCGCATCCCCGCGACGTCGCGAGAATCGTAAATCAAGAGTCCAGCGAAGCGCCAAGTGTGGCAGGGGTGCACGAGTCCCCCCCCTTGCGTTTTGCCTTCGCGAGCGCGAGCGTACGCAAGCGCGCGAGCGTACGCACGCGCGCGAGCGTACGCAAGCGCTCGTGCGTCTCAGCGGGCGGGGCAGGGCTCCGTGTGCAGATGCAGCGTGCCGCGGGCGTGCAGGTGCATGAGGTGCACCGTCTCGGCTGGGCATGGCGTGGAAGCCGGGCCGCGGCTTGGCGTCGTCGTAGTAGTGGTGCGCCAGCGAGTCGCCGCGCGAGCCCACGCCGAAGGGCCAGAAGCCGTAGGCGTGCACCTCGCGGCACAGCTCCAGCGCCGCGCTCGCCACCATGAGGCCGCTGGAGAGGCGGCGCGCGTGGACCCCGCGGGCGCGCCAGAAGGGCGCCCACAGCTCGCCAGGTACGCCGGGTGGAAGAAGAGCACGGGCCGCGGCAGGCCCAGGTCCTCCATCTGGCGCGGGGGAGCGGGGGCGGCGGCGTGTTACACCACCGCGCGGGCGCACGCGACGGAGACACCGAGCGGGGGTGGCGATGGGGTGAGTGGGTGGCGGTGGTGGTGGTGGTGGGGTGAGTGGGTGGTGGTGGTGGTGGTGGTGGGTGAGTGGGTGGCGGTGGTGGTGGTGGTGGGGTGAGTGGGTGGTGGTGGTGGTGGTGGTGGTGGGTGAGTGGGTGGTGGTGGTGTGGTGTGGCGGCGCACCGTGTAGCGCATACGCGCAGCGCGAGCTCGGTGTTGCGCCCCACGTAGAACGCGGGCAGCACGAGCGACGCGTTCCCGTACACCTCCAGCGCCTCCGCAAACGGCCGCCGCCTCCTCTCCAGGCGCTCAAACCTGCGCACTCACCACCCGCACCGGCCGCTCACCACTCGCACCCGGCCGCTCACCACCCACCCCGCTCGCTCACCACCCCGCCCCACTCGCTCACCACCCACACCGCTCGCTCACCACCCACCGCGCTCACTCACCACCCGCCCTGGTCGCTTACCACCCGCACCGTTCGCTCACCACCTGCTCACCTATCGCTGATGATGCTGGGGGTTGATCGTGACCAGGTCGGTTCTGGAGCCCACGTCTTGAGTGAACTCCTCCTGCAGGGGCGGCAGGTTGCACCTGCGGGCACAAGGAGAGCTCACACAGGGACCCCCCCTCCTCACCTCACTCCTCCTCACCCCACTCTCTCACCAGAATCCCCTTCTACTCCTCACCCCCCTCCTCACCTCACTCCTCCTCACCCCAATCTCAGATTCGGGGGGAGGCGGGGGGTTGATTTTCTAATGAGATAATTGTTCATGTGCCTGTTTAGAAACTGGTGTCATCAGGAAACATTTAAAACAAAAAAAAGTAATTCTCATCCGGCCCCATGGTGTAAAGTCTCCAACTCTTATCTACTCTTTCTTTCTTTTGGCCTCTATGTACGTGCTGTGAACAAGGCCCTTTGCCCGAAACGTCGTCTGTTGTGTGTTTTCCCTCTGACGGCTGCACACGATATGAGGAAGCCACCGGGAGGTGTGTGCTTTTAAATCATCGAGACTGACAAACTCATTTCTTTAGAACTGCTTTTTGTCTTTCGTTTGTTGTCCATCCCCCGCACCACCGATTAGCACGGTTGACCACGTACGGAGCGAAAGGGGGGTTCAACGTGCGTGCGTGCGTACGTTGTTAGTGACGAGCGGGGCAGTGTTTTGGTTGAACCTCTAAACCGTCTCTCTCTTCACTGGCCGTGCGAGGCCATCGTCACCCTCACATGATCTTGCCGGCCGAAGCGCGAGGCGTGTGCTCGTTACCGGACCTTGTGAGCGGCGAGGGGACACCGCACTCAACTAAACTATTAAAAAATATTTTTTATTTCACCAGGTAAGGACCAATGAGCTATGTAGCTCTTTTTCAGAAGCGATCCAGCCACAATGATAGCTCAACGAAGTGGCTTATCATCACGTGGACATTTATAGCAGCCAAAATACTCTTAAGGCGTGATGTTGATTCTAAATGTGAAGGGGGGGGGGGGGGGGGGAAACTGGATGACCCAGAGAAAAATCCATGCATCCACGGGGAGAAAACACACGCAAACTCCAAATATACAGCAGGCGTCAGGATAGGGATCAAACCACGACCTCCTGTTATACCAGGCGAGGTAGTTAACATCTCTAGCCACCGTGATGATGATGATGAAAGAGACACGCAAACTCCAAATATACAGCAGGCTTCCAGGGTAGGGAATCGAACCCATTACCTCCTGTATACCAGGCGAGGTAGTTAACATCTCCTAGCCACCGTGATGATGATGATGAAAGAGACACGCAAAACTCCAAATATATAGCAGGCGTCAGGGTAGGGATCGAACCCATGACCCTCCTGCATACCAGGCGAGAGATGTTAACATCTCCTAGCCACCAAGGCACCCCACACGAGTTGCACATCACTGTACCGCAAGTGTGTGCGGGCGAGTTTACCGGAACACGAAGTCAGCGCTGTCGATGTGGTGCCCGCAGCCGCTGCCCGTGAGGATGCCGCCGTTCCCCACCACAGAGCACGTGCGGAACTGCTGCCGGCCGTACGGCATCTCCTGCACAGCGCCAGCGTCATGGCAAGGTCATTGTTACACGCACAGCCGTGCGCGCGTTCGCGTGATGTTAGTTAACCAAATTGAATTTCCATCTGGTCCTGATACAGTGAGAGGCTGATCGATGCCCAGGTGCAGTAAACGGTTAGCTTCCCATTGGTCAAGCAAGTTACGTATGCTGATGATCTGGTCATTTCTGCGGCTGGGCAGTTGGAGGCGGTCGCCCTCCAACAGCAGCGGAGGGCGAGGGGAGCGACGCTCACGACGACGAGCGGGGCGCCGGGCGGGTAAACTCATCAAGTCGGCGCCGCCGGTGACGCAGCCGCCGGTCGACGCGCAGCGTGGCGCTCACCGGAGGCAGCATGTTGAACAGCTCCTGGCCGACCCTGCAGCGTCCGCTTCTCCTCGCCCTCATAGCGCAGGCGGCTCCCCAGCGCCACAGTCCGCTGAGACGCCACCAGCAGCCCCGGCGCATTGCAGCACCGCGACAGCTGCAGCCTGCGGCGGCGGCGGCGGCGCGGCGCCGGGGACAACGCGGGGGGGGAGAGACGGGGGCACACGGGGGGAGTTGCACTGGAGCCGCACAGGGCAGAAGACACGAGAAGACACGGGGGGAGGGGGCATGGGGAGACAGGGGGGAGGGGGCACAGGGCTACAACACGAGACGGTTTTTTCAACCTCGCGGCCCTGTGCGGTGGATTGCCGCAGGCAAGCAGCCGCCTGTTATACGAGCAGCAGGTTTTGTGTGTGCCACTTCCTGGGCTCACGTTACACGGCATTTCTGAGAACTCACTTTGGCTCGAGTCGACCTAGGGAAGGCACAGGCTCAATTCAGATGTCCGTGAATAGTTTGGCTGTCATCGGAAGTTTAACTTGGGTCGTCGGGTTCGTAGCGCAGGGCACACCCACAGGGCAAGTGTACGCAGACGCGTGCACGCACCTGAGCAGGTCGGACTCGGAGCGGTTATGTGCCCAGTCGCACACCTGGAGGCGCCGCCAGCGATCAAAGACATCGGACTCACGAAACCTGGACGCAACACATCAACCCCGTGACCAACACCACCACCACCAACGCCACCACCATCATCATCATCCACCACCAACAACACTATCACCACCATCAGCATCACTACTGTCACCCCAACACCACCATCGCTAAATCACCATCACTACCATCACTCCCACACCACCATTACTCCAACACCACCATCAACCACACTATCTACGCCATCACCACTATCACCACCATCACTATCACCACCACCATCTCTAGCACCATCACCACTATCACCACCATCACTACCAACAACAACATTTCACCATCATCACCACCACAACACAATAACCATACCACCATCATCACCATCACCACCAAACCATAACCACCAACATATCACCGACACCACTACTGCATCACCATCATTACCACATCACCATCATCACCAGCACTCAACACTGTCACGGCCATGATCACGTCCATCTCCCTGGTGCCTATGGTCTCACTGCCTCCACAGCAATCACACCCGTTCCATCACGCTAGTGAGTGGCGCTATTGAGTGGCCCTGATGTGCAGCGCTGGTGAGTGGTGCTGTATGTTGATGTATGTATATATGTATGTTGAACTTATTTCAGACCGTACGTAGCCAACTGTGCTAATCGGAGGTGCGGGGGAAGGGCAACAAGGTGCTGGTGTGTGGCGCTGGTGAGTGGCGCTGGTTGAATGACACTAGTAAGTGGCGCTGGTGAAATGGCACTGGTGATCCTGGTGAGTAGCGCTGGTGTGAGTGAGACTGGTGAGTGGCACTGGTGATACTGGTAAGTGGCGCTGGTGAGTTTCGCTGGTTGCATGTCACTGGTAAGTTGCGCTGGTGAGTGGCCCTGGTGATAGGGGTGAGTGGCGCTGGTGAGTGGCACTGGTGATACTGGTAAGTGGCGCTGGTGAGTGACGCTGGTTGCATGCCACTGGTAAGTGGTGCTGGTGAGTGGCCCTGGTGATAGGGTGGTGAGTGGCAGCTGGTGAGTGGCACTGGTGATACTGGTAAGTGGCGCTGGTGAGTGACGCTGGTTGCATGTCACTGCAAGTGGTGCTGGTGAGTGGCCCTGGTGATACTGGTGAGTGCCGCTGTGAGTGGCACTGGTTGAATAACACGGGTAAGAGGCACTGGCGAGTGGAACTGGTGGCGTTGGTTGCATGTCACTGGTAAGTTGCGCTGGTGATATTGCGCTGGTGATACTGGTCAGTGGTGCTGGTGAGAGAGTGAGGGATAAGGGAAAACTCACATTCCCAGGCGGACGTCGGTCATGTCGGTGCGGAGCTCCCGACACTCGGTGGAGTTGAAGAGCAGAGGGCCGTGGTACGACACGAAATACCTGCAACATACACACAGCACCATCACCACAGGGTCACCACTTTCACCACCACTCGGTGGAGTTAAACAGCAGAGGCCTGTGGTACAACACAAAATACCTGCATCATACGCACAGCACCATCACCACAGGGTCACACCACTTCTACCACCACTCGGTGGAGTTAAACAGCAGAGGGCCGTGGTACAACACAAAATACCTGCGCCATACACACAGCACATCACTACAGGGTCACACCACTTCTACCACCACTCGGTGGAGTTAAACAGCAGAGGGCCGTGGTACAACACAAAATACCTGCAACATACACACAGCACCATCACCACAGGGTCACCACTTTCACCACCACTCGGTGGAGTTAACAGCAGAGGCCTGTGGTACAACACAAAATACCTGCATCATACGCACAGCACCATCACCACAGGGTCACACCACTTCTACCACCACTCGGTGGATGTTAAACAGCAGAGGGCCGTGGTACAACCACAAAATACCTGCGCCATACACACAGCACCATCACTACAGGGTCACACCACTTCTACCACCACTCGGTGGAGTTAAACAGCAGAGGGCCGTGGTACAACACAAAATACCTGCACCGTACACACAGCACCATCACCACCACGGGGTCACCACCACTCAGTGGTTTTGAGGAGGAGAGGCCCGTGGTACGACAGAAAATACCTGCATCACGCACACACACACATAACAACCCCCGTTCACCACCAAGTGGCGGGTGACGTCACCATGGCGTTTTGTACCAGGCTGGATGCACTTTTGAGGCCACATGAAGTGTCGAAGGCACGCTGCTGGCAAGAGGTCACGTGACAGACTCAGGTGTCAGGGGTTGACTAAGATGACTGACAGACGCACCACCTGCGCATGTGGGCCAGGTTGATTTCACATGGCGTAAGGCAGCTGATGAAGAGACAATGGTGCTGTTCGACTGATTCGGAGATCTCCGCTGCCAAACCGGAGGTCAGTCATACGCACACTGTTCAGGGTATGGAAACTTGTCCACCACTGCGCCATCACTCATGGGGGAGCGGGGAACGGGAAGGACGTAAAACACCCAGGCAGGTCCTTAGTTTTTGTGGGGCTGACGGTAAGGCCCCATCTCTTAGTAGCGCGGTCACGGTTCGGCAATAGCTGCTCCAACTCCTTCTTAAGAGTTAGCAGGTATTACCAGTTCATCAGAATACATAATATGGTTGACCAACAGGAAGCCATCCCCTGACCACACCCAGGCATCGATCAGCCTCCCATTGTATCTGTTACAGTCGGTTATTCCACAGGTACAGGCATGGAAAGCTTCTCGGACTATGTGGTCAAAAATATGTTAAATAGTGTAGGGGTCAGAGGACATCCCTATCGCCATCCCAAGGTGAACAGAAAATGGCTTTGTCTCCCGGCCACGCAGCTTTACCTGGGCCTGCCCACCGTCACGAACGTCCTTAAGGATTGTGAGCAGAGGGTCAGGGACTCCGAAGCTAATGAGGAATAACCCAGAACCCTGGCACATTCATGGCATCATAGGCCTTGACCAGGTCAATAAAGCAGAGATGCTGCTGAAATTCCCTCCACCTCTGCTGAAGTAGATGGACAGAGAATATGGCGTCGTGTATAGGACCAACCCCGGCCTGAACCACAAGGGACTCGGGTCACCACCACCGACACCACCGCGACAGGGTCTTGCTCACCTGTATGCCTGCCGTCACCCCACGACCCATGAGGCGGCTGCGTACCCACAGTGGCACCCCGTAGGACCCACGTACCTGCGGAGGGCACGGGCCCGAAGCTGAGCTCCTGCCAGAGCGTGACGAGGCGAACGCGCACAGGAACATGAGAGCAGCGTGCGGTTGCCCAGCACCACGGTGGCCGTGCCGTCCGTGTAGCCCATCGCTGCTTCTGCTGCTGCAGCGCGCAGCTGCGCCAGGGGAGCAGAGACGGGAGAGCAGGTGAGGGTACACACACGGTGAGGGTACACACACACACAGGTGAGAGTACACACAGGTGAGTGTACAACACACACAGGTGAGAGTACACACACAGGTGAGTGTACACACACACACAGGTGAGGGTACACACACACAGGTGAGAGTACACACACAGGTGAGGGTACACACACACAGGTGAGAGTACACACACACAGTGAGTGTACACACACACGGGTGAGGGTACAACACACACAGGTGAGGGTACACACACACGGGTGAGGGTACACACACACGGGTGAGGGTACACATACAGGTGAGTGTACACACACACGGGTGAGGGTACACACACACTGGTGAGGGTACACACACACAGGTGAGAGTACACACACACACGGTGAGAGGATGCACACACACGGGTGAGGGTACACACACACACACAGGTGAGTGTACCACACACGGTGTGAGCGTACACACACACAGGTGAGGGTACACACACACGGGTGAGGGTACACACACGGTGAGGGTACACACACAGGTGAGGGTACACACCACAGGTGAGTGTACACACACACAGGTGAGAGTACACACACACAGGTGAGGGTACACACACAGGTGAGGGTACACACACAGGTGAGTGTACACACACACAGGTGAGAGTACACACACAGGTGAGGGTACACATACACAGGTGAGGGTACACACACACGGGTGAGGGTACACACACACGGGTGAGGGTACACACAACACTGGTGAGCGTACACACACAGGTGAGGGTACACACACACGGGTGAGGGTACACACACACACACGGATGAGGGTACACACACAGGTGAGTGTACACACACACATGGATGAGGGTACTTCACACAGGTGAGGGTACACACACTGGTGAGGGTACACACATACACGGGTGAGGGTACACACACACAGGTGAGGGTACACACACACGGGTGAGGGTACACACAGAGGTGAGGGTACACACACATATACAGGTGAGGGTACACACACACGGGTGAGGATGCACACACACTGGTGAGCGCACACACACACGAGTGAGGGCACACACACACAGGTGTGGGTACACACATATAGGTGAGGGTACACACACACAGGTGAGTGTACACCACACGGGTGAGGATGCACACACACTGGTGAGAGTACACACACAGGTGAGAGTACACACACACTGGTTAGGGTACACACACACACTGGTGAGCGTACACACACACACGGGTGAGGGCACACACACACAGGTGAGAGTACACACACACGGGTGAGGGTACACACACACACAGGTGAGTGTACACACACACAGGTGAGTGTACACACACACGGGAGTGTACACACACACGGGAGGGTACCACACACACAGGTGAGGCTACACACACAGGTGAGGATACCACACGGGTGAGGGTACACACACACAGGTGAGTGTACACACACACAGTGAGTGTACACACACGGGTGAGGGTACACACACACAGGTGAGGGTACACACACAGGTGAGTGTACACACACACTGGTGAGGGTACACACACACCACACACAGGTGAGAGTACACACACACGGGTGAGGGTACACACACACACAGGTGAGGCTACACACACAGGTGAGAGTACACACACACTGGTTAGGGTACACACACACTGGTTAGGGTACACACACACACTGGTGAGCGTACACACACACACGGTGAGTGTACACACACACGGGTGAGTGTACACACACACGGGTGAGGGTACACACACACTGGTGAGGGTACACACACACACACACTGGTGAGGGTACACACTGGTGAGGGTGAGTACAGCTCTCACCTCACTGGAATCGGCTTCACGCGGGTCGCGTTGTGGAGCCGCGACCCCGGGCCGGGGCGCCATGTGGCCTACGAGCCGCGGCGACTCCTCACCCCGCACTACTCACCCCCTCTCACTCCCACTCCTCACCCCTGTCTCCTTTCCCTGCTGTCCTCCCTCCTCACCATTCACCGCGCTTGTCACTCCTCATCCACTGTCTCTCTCCTCACCCACTGTCTCCTCACCCACTGTCTCCTCACCCACTGTCTCTCTCTCTCCTCACCCACTGTCTCCTCACCCACTGTCTCTCTCCTCACCCACTGTCTCCTCACCCACTGTCTCTCTCCTCACCCACTGTCTCCTCACCCACTGTCTCCTCACCCACTGTCTCTCTCTCTCCTCACCCACTGTCTCCTCACCCACTGTCTCTCTCCTTACCCACTGTCTCCTCACCCACTGTCTCCTCACCCACTGTCTCTCTCCTCACCCACTGTCTCTGTCTCTCCTCACCCACTGTCTCTCTCTCTCCTCATCCACTGTCTCTCTCCTCACCCACTGTCTCTCTCCTCACCCACTGTCTCTCTCCTCACCCACTGTCTCCTCACCCACTGTCTCTCTCCTCACCCACTGTCCCTCTCTCTCTCCTCACCCACTGTCTCTCTCTCTCCTCACCCACTGTCTCCTCACCCACTGTCTCCTCACCCACTGTCTCCTCACCCACTGTCTCTCTCTCTCTCCTCACCCACTGTCTCTCTCCTCACGCCACTGTCTCCTCACCCACTGTCTCTCTCCTCACCCACTGTCTCCTCATCCACTGTCTCTCTCCTCACCCACTGTCTCCTCACCCACTGTCTCTCTCTCTCCTCACGCCACTGTCTCTCTCTCTCCTCACCCACTGTCTCTCTCCTCACCCACTGTCTCCTCTCTCCTCACCCACTGTCTCTCTCTCCTCACCCACTGTCTCTCCTCACGCCCTGTCTCTCTCTCTCCTCACCCACTGTCTCTCTCTCCTCCCCACTGTCTCTGTCTCTCCTCACCCACTGTCTCTCTCCTCACCCACTGTCTCTCCTCACCCACTGTCTCTCCTCCTCACCCACTGTCTCTCTTCTCATGGACGTCTGTTTAAAAAAAAAGATGGAGCTTGATAGCTCATCGGATGGCTCATCCGGTTCTAAAAGAAGATGTTCGTGACTGCGATTCACGCGGCAAATTCTCTCTCGCTTCTTCTCGCCCTCGCGCCAAGGTCACGCGCGGAGACGCGCATGCGTGCAGCGCCACGAAGTCCCAGAGCTGCCCCGTGCCCCCCACGGCCCCCCCCAGCTGCCCCTGTCCCCCCCCACTGCCCCCCACCTGCCCCGTGCCCCCCCACTGCTCCCCCCAGCTGCCCCGTGCCCCCCACGCCCCCCCCAGCTGCCCCGTGCCCCCCCCACTGCCCCCCCAGCTGCCCCGTGCCCCCCACTGCCCCCCCCAGCTGCCCGTGCCCCCCCACTGCCCCCCCAGCTGCCCCCGTGCCCCCCCACTGCCCCCCAGCTGCCCCATGCCCCCCACTGCCCCCCCAGCTGCCCCCGTGCCCCCCACTGCCCCCCCAGCTGCCCCATGCCCCCCCACTGCCCCCCAGCTGCCCCGTGCCCCACTGCCCCCCCCACTGCCCGCGTGCCCCCCCCACTGCCCCCCCAGCTGCCCCGTGCCCCCCCACTGCCCCCCCCCAGCTGCCCCGTCCCCTCCTGCCTCCCCCCAGCTGCCCCGTCCCGCCACTGCCCCCCCAACTGCCCCCCCAGCTGCCCCATGCCCCCCCACTGCCCCCCCACTGCCCCGTGCCCCCACTGCCCCCCCCCTGCCCCGTGCCCCCCCACTGCCCCCCCAGCTGCCCCGTGCCCCCCCACTGCCCCCCCCCAGCTGCCCCGTCCCCTCACTGCCTCCCCCCAGCTGCCCCGTCCCGCCACTGCCCCCCCCAACTGCCCCCCCAGCTGCCCCGTTGACCCCCACAGCTGCCCCGTCCCGCCACTGCCCGTGTCCCCTCACTGACCCCGCCCCTCACTGACCCCGCCCCTCACTGCTGCCCTGTCCCCCCTCACTGACCCCGCCCCTCACTGACCCCGCCCCTCACTGCTGCCCTGTCCCCCTCACTGACCCCGCCCCTCACTGACCCCGCCCCTCACTGACTCCCGCCCCCACTGACCCCGCCCCTCACTGCTGCCTGTCCCCCCTCACTGCTGCCCTGTCCCCCTCACTGACCCCGCCCCTCACTGACCCCGCCCCTCACTGACCCCGCCCCTCACTGACCCCGCCCCTCACTGACCCCCGCCCCTCACTGCTGCCCTGTCCCCCCACTGCTGCCCTGTCCCCCTCACTGACCCCGCCCCTCACTGACCCCGCCCCACTGACCCCGCCCCTCACTGACCCCGCCCCTCACTGACCCGCCCCTCACTGACCCCGCCCCTCACTGACCCCGCCCCTCACTGACCCCGCCCCACTGCTGCCCTGTCCCCCCTCACTGCCCGTGCCCTCTGTTGTCTGCGATTTCACGGGGAACAGTATATACAGTATATACAGTCCGTGTGTACCATCTACAGTATATACAGTATATACAGTCCGTGTGTACCATCTACAGTATATACAGTATATGCAGTCCGTGTGCACCCGCTACGTATATACAGTCTATACAGTACACATGTGCCCGCTACAGTATATACAATCCGTGTGTACCAGCTACAGTACATACAGTCCTGTGTACCAGCTACAGTATATACCCGTCTGTGTGCCTGCTACAGTATATACAGTACACGTGTGCCCGCTACAGTATATACAGTCCATGTATACCTGCTACCGTATGTACAGTATTACAGTCCGTGTGTACCAGCTACAGTATACACAGTATATCAGTGCTGTGTGCCCGTTACAGTATATACAGTATATACAGTGCACGTGCGCCCGCTACAGTATATACAGTCCGTGTGTGCCCGCTACAGTATGAACAGTACACGTGTGCCAGCTACAGTATATACAGTCCACGTGTACCCGCTACAGTATATACAGTCCACGTGTGCCCGCTACAGTCTATACAGTCCGTTTGTACCCGCTACAGTATATACAGTCCATGTTGTACCAGCTACAGTATATAGTCTATACAGTCCGTGTTTACCAGCTACAGTATATACAGTATATACAGCCCATGTGTACCAGCTACTGTATATATAGTCTATACAGTCCACGTGTGCCCGCTACAGTATATACAGTATATACAGTCCATGTGTACCAGCTACAGTCTGTACAGTCTATACAGTCCACGTGTACCAGCTACAGTCTATACAGTCCACGTGTACCCACTACAGTCTATACAGTCCACGTGTACCCGCTACAGTATATACAGTCCGTGTGTGCCCGCTACAGTAGTCTATACAGTCCACGTGTACCAGCTACAGTCTATACAGTCCACGTGTACTCGCTACAGTTATACAGTCCGTGTGTACCCGCTACAGTCTATACAGTCCCGTTACCAGCTACAGTCTATCCGATAGTTTTGTATTTACCAGTATATACAGTCTATATTTACCGCTACAGTATATACAGTCTATATTTACATGCTACAGTCTATACGTCTTACCATACGTGTACGCACTTCCGGTACAGTGCCGAACGCGTCCCGACTCGTGATTGGCTAGACGAGGGGGAGAGCGGGGGGGGCTGCTTGTGGCCCCACCGCTCCGAGGATGTTGGGGGGGGGCTATGCGCATGACGTCACGCATTCATTATAAATCCGCATGGCGTGACGTCACTCGGGATCGATAAAAATAAGAGCGAGACAAAGGCAAAGATCCCCCGTGTAGCCTCGATAGACTGTCGGGGCAAGTGCTGTTAGCGAGTACCGGGGGGGGGGGGGGTGCGTGGCCAACACCCACGCCCGACCGCCTTTGTCTCCCCCGGTGGCGATGTTGACGACGCCGCACCGAGGTTACTCATTTGAGGCTGAGTCGACCTCGAGCAAGAGAGCCCAAGCCGGTTCGGGTGGCCGTCCCTGGGGTGTTGGTAGTGGCCGTGAGTGGCTGGGTCACAGTGGCCAACAGCGCCCACCAACCCCTCGGAGTGGCAGTCGCCGCGTCCGCCTGGAGCCTCGACAGCAGCAGCAGCAAGCCGGGGGTGACACGGAACGTTGGGGACTCGTCACACAGTTGACGAGGTTGTCGATAGCCACCCACCAACCCCACTCACACCTCCCACCCACACTCACGCACCAACACCACCTCCACCCACCCCAACAGACCGCACCCCCACCCACCTCCACCCACAGACCCCCACCCCACCCACAGACCCCACAGACCCCACCCCCACCCACAGACCCCACCCACAGACCCCACCCACCTACACCCACAGACCCCACCCCCCCCACAGACCCCACAGACCCCACCCCCACCCACAGACCCCCACAGACCCCACCCACAGACCCCACCCCCACCCACCCACAGACCCCACCCCCACCCACCCACAGACCCCGGGGACCCCGGCCACTGTGCGCGCCCTTAAGGGCTGGGGGAGGGAGAGAGGAGGGGGAGGGGGTGCAGGTGCAGGGTCCAGCCAGGCGGAGTGTATCCGTGTACCGCAGGCGTCGCCTCAAGCACGGAGCCCGCACACGGAGCTATGGTGAATGGGGAGACTGTGTCAGGGTGAATAGGGAGACTGTGTCAGGGTGAATGGGGAGACTGTGTCAGGGTGAATAGGGAGACTGTGTCAGGGTGAATGGGGAGACTGTGTCAGGTGAATGTGGACTGTGTCAGGGTGAATGGGGAGACTGTGTCAGGGTGAATAGGGAGACTGTGTCAGGGTGAATGGGGAGACTGTCAGGGTGAATAGGGAGACTGTGTCAGGGGTGAATGTGGACTGTGTCAGGGTGAATGTGGACTGTGTCAGGGTGAATGGGGAGACTGTCAGGGTGATTGGGGAGACTGTGTCAGGGTGAATAGGGAGACTGTGTCAGGTGAATGTGGAGACTGTGTCAGGTTGATTGGGGAGACTGTGTCAGGGTGAATAGAGACTGTGTCAGGGTGAATGGGGAGACTGTGTCAGGGTGAATAGGGAGACTGTGTCAGGGTGAATAGGAGACTGTGTCAGGGTGAATGGGGAGACTGTGTCAGGGTGAATGTGAGACTGTGTCAGGTGAATGTGGAGACTGTGTCAGGGTGATTGGGGAGACTGTGTCAGAGTGAATAGGGAGACTGTGTCAGGGTGAATGGGGACTGTGTCAGGATGAATAGGGAGACTGTGTCAGGGTGAATGTGGAGACTGTCAGGGTGAATGTGGAGACTGTGTCAGGGAATGTGGACTGTGTCAGGGTGAATGTGGAGACTGTGTCAGGGTGATTGGGAGACTGTGTCAGGGTGAATGGGGAGACTGTGTCAGGGTGAATGTGAGACTGTGTCAGGGTGAATGTGGACTGTGTCAGGGTGAATGTGGAGACTGTGTCAGGGTGATTGGGGAGACTGTGTCAGGGTGAATAGGGAGACTGTCAGGGTGAATGTGGAGACTGTGTCAGGGTGATGTGGAGACTGTGTCAGGGTGAATGGGAGACTGTGTCAGGTGAATGTGGACTGTGTCGGGTGAATGTGGAGACGTGTGTCAGGGTGAATGGGGAGACTGTGAGGGTGAATAGGGAGGCTGTGTCAGGGTGAATAGGGAGACTGTGTCAGGGTGAATGTGGACTGTGTCAGGGTGAATAGGGAGGCTTGTCAGGGTGAATAGGGAGGCTGTCAGGGGTGAATAGGGAAACTGTGTCAGGGTGAATTGGGAGACTGTGTCAGGGTGAATAGGGAGACTGTGTCAGGGTGAATGTGGAGACTGTGTCAGGGTGAATAGGGGAGACTGTGTCAGGGTGAATAGGGAGACTGTGTCAGGGTGAATAGGGAGACTGTGTCAGGGTTAATGGGGAGACTGTGTCAGGGTGAATAGGGAGACTGTGTCAGGGTAATGTGGATTGTGTCAGGGTGAATAGGGAGGCTGTGTCAGGGTGAATGTGGAGATTGTGTCATGGTGAATGTGGACTGTATCAGGATGAATAAGGAGACTGTGTCAGGGTGAATGTGGAGACTGTGTCAGGGTGAATGTGGACTGTGTCAGGGTGAATAGGGAGACTGTGTCAGGGTGAATAGGGAGACTGTGTCAGGGTGAATAGGGAGACTGTGTCAGGGTGAATAGGGAGACCGTGTCAGGGTGAATAGGGAGATTGTGTCAGGGTGAATAGGGAGACTGTGTCAGGGTGAATAGGGAGACTGTGTCAGGGTGAATGTGGAGACTGTGTCAGGGTGAATAGGGAGACTGTGTCAGGGTGAGTGTGGACTGTGTCAGGGTGAATAGGGAGACTGTGTCAGGGTGAATAGGGAGACTGTGTCAGGGTGAATGTGGACTGTGTCAGGGTGAATAGGGACTGTGTCAGGGTGAATGTGGAGACTGTGTCAGGGTGAATAGGGAGACTGTCAGGGTGAATAGGGAGACTGTGTCAGGGTGAATGTGGACTGTGTCAGGGTGAATGGGAGACTGTCAGGGTGATTGGGGAAACTGTGTCAGGGTGAATGGGGAGACTGTGTCAGGGTGAATGTGGAGACTGTGTCAGGGTGATTGGGGAGACTGTGTCAGGGTGAATAGGGAGACTGTGTCAGGGTGAATGGGGAGACTGTGTCAGGGTGAATAGGGAGACTGTGTCAGGGTGAATAGGGAGACTGTGTCAGGGTGAATGGGGAGACTATGTCAGGGTGAATGTGGAGACTGTGTCAGGGTGAATGTGGAGACTGTGTCAGGGTGATTGGGGAGACTGTGTCAGGGTGAATAGGGAGACTGTGTCAGGGTGAATGGGGAGACTGTGTCAGGATGAATAGGGAGACTGTGTCAGGGTGAATGTGGAGACTGTGTCAGGGTGAATGTGGAGACTGTGTCAGGGTGAATGTGGACTGTGTCAGGGTGAATGTGGAGACTGTGTCAGGGTGATTGGGAGACTGTGTCAGGGTGAATGTGGAGACTGTGTCAGGGTGAATGTGGACTGTGTCAGGGTGAATGTGGAGACTGTGTCAGGTGATTGGGGAGACTGTGTCAGGGTGAATAGGGAGACTGTCAGGGTGAATGTGGAGACTGTGTCAGGGTGAATGTGGAGACTGTGTCAGGGTGAATGTGGACTGTGTCAGGGTGAATGTGGACTGTGTCAGGGTGAATAGGGAGACTGTTTCAGGGTGAATGGGGAGACTGTGTCAGGGTGAATGTGGACTGTGTCAGGGTGAATGTGGAGACTGTGTCAGGGTGAATGGGGAGACTGTGAGGTGAATAGGGAGGCTGTGTCAGGGTGAATAGGGAGACTGTGTCAGGGTGAATGTGGACTGTGTCAGGTGAATAGGGAGACTTGTCAGGGTGAATAGGGAGACTGTCAGGGTGAATAGGGAGACTGTGTCAGGCTGAATTGGGAGACTGTGTCAGGGTGAATAGGGAGACTGTGTCAGGGTGAATGTGGAGACTGTGTCAGGGTGAATAGGGAGACTGTGTCAGGGTGAATAGGGAGACTGTGTCAGGGTGAATAGGGAGACTGTGTCAGGGTGAATGTGGATTGTGTCAGGGTGAATAGGGAGGCTGTGTCAGGGTGAATGTGGAATTGTGTCATGGTGAATGTGGACTGTATCAGGGTGAATGTGTAGACTGTGTCAGGGTGAATAGGGAGACCGTGTCAGGGTGAATAGGGAGATTGTGTCAGGGTGAATAGGGAGACTGTGTCAGGGTGAATAGGGAGACTGTGAGGGTGAATGTGGAGACTGTGTCAGGGTGAATAGGGAGACTGTGTCAGGGTGAGTGTGGACTGTGTCAGGGTGAATGGGAGACTTTGTCAGGGTGAATAGGGAGACTGTGTCAGGTGAATGTGGACTGTGTCAGGGTGAACAGGGAGATTGTGTCAGGGTGAATGTGGAGACTGTGTCAGGGTGAATAGGGGAGACTGTCAGGGTGAATAGGGAGACTGTGTCAGGGTGAATGTGGAGACTGTGTCAGGGTGAATAGGGAGACTGTGTCAGGGTGAATTTGGACTGTGTCAGGTTGAATAGGGAGACTGTGTCAGGGTGAATGGGATACTGTGTCAGGGTGAATAGGGAGACTGTGTCAGGGTGAGTGTGGACTGTGTCAGGGTGAATAGGGAGACTGTGTCAGGGTGAATAGGGAGACTGTGTCAGGGTGATAGGGAGATTGTGTCAGATTTCGATTTAAAGCTTTCGTGACTGCAATGATTCATCTTCTTTGGTTCTTTCGGTAAAGTCACGTAGAATGAGAATAAAATAATAAATTGATAAATAAAAATAAAATATATTATTGTGTTATTTTATTTTATCAATTTATTATTTTATTCTCATTCTACGTGACTTTACCGAAAGAACCAAATAAGATTGTGTCAGGGTGAATGTGGAGACTGTGTCATGGTGAATGTGGACTGTATCAGGTGAATAAGGAGACTGTGTCAGGGTGAATAGGGAGGCTGTGTCAGGGTGAATAGGGAGACTGTGTCAGGGTGAATAGCGAGACTGTGTCAGGGTGAATAGGGAGACTGTGTCAGGGTGAATAGGGAGACTGTGTCAGGGTGAATAGGGAGACACTGTCAGGGTGAGTGTGGACTGTGTCAGGGTGAATGTGGACTGTGTCAGGGTGAATGTGGAGACTGTGTCAGGGTGAATGTGGACTGTGTCACGGTGAATAGGGAGACTGTGTCAGGGTGTATGTGGACTGTGTCACGGTGAATAGGGAGACTGTATCAGGGTGAATAGGGAGACTGTGTCAGGGTGAATAGGGAGACTGTGTCAGGGTGAATATGGAGACTGTGTCAGGGTGAATAGGGAGACTGTGTCAGGGTGAATAGGGAGACTGTCAGGGTGAATGTGAGACTGTGTCAGGGTGAATAGGGAGACTGTCAGGGTGAATAGGGAGACTGTGTCAGGATGAATGTGGACTGTGTCAGGGTGAATGTGGACTGTGTCAGGGTGAATAGGGAGATTGTGTCAGGGTGAATGTGGACTGTGTCACGGTGAATAGGGAGACTGTATCAGGGTGAATAGGGACTGTGTCAGGGTGAATGTGGAGACTGTGTCAGGTGAATAGGGAGACTGTGTCAGGGTGAATAGGGAGATTGTGTCAGGATGAATAGGGAGACTGTGTCAGGGTGAATAGGGAGACTGTGTCAGGGTGAATAGGGACTGTGTCAGGGTGAATTTTGGAGACTGTGTCAGGGTGAATAGGGAGACTGTGTCAGGGTGAATGTGGACTGTGTCAGGTGAATAGGAGACTGTGTCAGGTGAATGTGGAGACTGTGTCAGGGTGAATGGGAGACTGTGTCAGGGTGAATGTGGACTGTGTCGGGTGAATAGGGAGACTGTTTCAGGGTTAATGGGGAGACTGTGTCAGGGTGAATGTGGACTGTGTCAGGGTGAATGTGGAGACTGTGTCAGGGTGAATGGGAGACTGTGTCAGGGTGCATAGGGAGACTGAGTCAGGGTGAATGGGGAGACTGTGTCAGGTGAATGGGAGTCTGTGTCGGGTGAATAGGGAGACTGTGTCAGGGTGAATAGGGAGACCGTGTCAGGGTGAATAGGGAGATTGTGTCAGGGTGAATAGGGAGACTGTGTCAGGGT